ACAAGATACAGCTGACACAAGACGATGACGTTTGCTTAGGAATGGATGTGCTGGTGTTAAAAAAAAAAAAATACTACACTGGTCGCATTGTTGACGAGAGTTGTGGTCACATATCTACTGCCTCTGGAAGAGTAACAAAGAAGAGAAGGATACTGAAGAAGAGTATTACCATATATATATCTGTAATCAATGTTCATCACGATGCCAAATGGAACACACTGTTCAGACTTTGATCTCATCAACAACACACTCAATACAAAATAATTCAAATAAATGCAAGAATAATCTTATCGCTCATACAACTGGTCATTGCGGCCCGCACACTCAGTTGCCAAACCTGCCGCACAAAAATGAATTCGACTCTAAGTCGATGAATCTCCCACAGGAGTTGTATGCGTGGACACCTCCACGATTAATTTGTTGTGGAAAATGCCACAGCATCACATCGGGTCTAGAGAATACAGAATCGAAGCCTATACGCATGTACCCCTTTGTTTGTACTAGGTACTAGATGCTCTTATATATAAGAGCACCTTACACATATACTTTATTACTACTTCAAGCCAGGTGGTTATGTATTTGAGGAGGATGTCGATTTCTTTGAAGAGAATTGAAACATGTCATCCACCATAATTGTGCTTGCTGTAGTCATATAGATAGTGACCGACCAACAATGGATTGTAGTTCTAGAATAGAATAGAGTTCAAGTGATCGAGTTCCATGATCCAGTCAGATTGACGTGTTGGTGTTACAATATCACGCCAGATGGCGATGACAAAGCAGCAAAATCAACTCCGTCCGAGCACTGTCAAGGCTAATGCTAATGACAATGACAAGACAAGACACGACAACTGGTCCAACCAACTCTCAAGGGAGGGCAATGTGGCGATGTAGACTAGACATAAGACATTTTCCTTTCTTTCCTTCCTTTATTTTCTTTGTTTATGTGGATCGAAGTTGTTCCCAAGCATCTTTTGTTCGCTGCGTCCATATAAGCTATTATCCTTGCCGCGGCCAGAATAAGCCCCATCTAGACCCGAAATGCAATTGCATCCACTGGCGTTGATAATCGTTTTGCATCGCTGGCAAGCGGGGGGTACTTGAAAGGTTATGCATGGTGGTGGCGGCGGCTGCTCCTTCTCTATCTCTAGCACAACATCCAAATCCAAGTTATCTTCATCTTCATCTACTTCTGCATCTGGATCGGGGTTTACAGTCTGATCCTCCCAATCATTATCATCAGAGCTATGATGATTCAGACCCTCCTTAACTTGGTCGATGCCAGCAATATTCTTCGCTTTGTATCCTTGAGCACTTTGTTCGATTGCATCCTCCCTTGGATATTCGATTGGGATATTTCCAATCACTGAACTTGCTGGTTCTTGTTTGTACCATTTGTCGAACACCGCCAGGATGTCAACAACTACTCCACTTTTGAATGTAAATGTAGCAACTCCGCCATGCAAAGGACTATTGATTACAGTGATGAATATTGAAAGCAACTTGTGCTCTAAATCAACTACACTGTAGTTGCGGGCCTTTCGATTTGTTACTGCTCCATTCATTGGATAGTAGCACCAGATAACGGTGTTATCACGGAAAACAGGCTTTTTTTGGTGAGCCCTGATCCTATTGAAAACATTAACAGTTGAACTGCCAATATACGAAGTAACTAAATATGCCTTTCCTCGTTCTGCTTCTCTAAAAGCCTGGAAAAAGATATATATTCCTGGAGCAATTGCCTCTTTTGTTGGTACATTTCTAAAATCGCTACATCTCCAGGAGTTATAAACTATTTCATTTTCATTATTTTTCGGTACTTAACGTTAAGAGCAGAGTTGATTTTCTCTAAGCTGCTCACTGTTGAGATGGTGGCGATGGCGATGAACAATAGATATAAGAAGTACGATATGTATTTCATTGCATGTATTAATATTAATAATTAATCGTGAAGCGAATGTTTTGTTTTGATTGTGTGTCGTGGGGGGTGGTGATGGTTCGCAAAAGAAAGACACAAATCTATTTATTTTATTATTATTTATTATTTTAATGCACATTTCACACTTTGACACTTTGAAGTTGATCTCTGTGGGTCTGTTTGTTAAATTCAGTAAGTAGTTGGCGCCACTAGTATGTGTGTGGCCTGGGTTGGGGTTTGGGGTTCCACCATCCCAGACTTTTTTCAATTAATTCAAAACGTTACATAATGCGATGGATAATGAAAATCAAAGGAGGGTATGTTACTTACTTTCTCTGCATTCTTTCGATGTCTTAGTACTAGTATACCTACATTTACACTACATATAAAGTTAATCAGTAACCACCGACGAAATGCTTGTGTTGCTCCCTTTTTATATTATAAGAATCATTGCCTCGCATCTTGACTGCATTGATATATTATGCTTTCTCCTAGTAAGCAGAGGAATCTTTTTGCAAACAAAGATTATCTTGCCATCATTGAAATATCACTTTGGATATGTCTCGCCATCCGCAACACTCATAAAGGTCTCACCAATACAACATAAGAAGAACATAAGAACGTTTGAATACCTAGCTACAAACAATAGAGGTAATCTCGATGAACATACTAGTTCCACATACTTCATCGATACTATTTTGCCTCTTCAAGTTGGACACATACCAAAGTCAGTGAGCCAACTATCTACGCAACGTTTCAACCAGCCTCTTCAAGTTGGACACATACCCCCGTCAGTGACCGAACTATCAATGTCATATTTCAATCAGCCTCTTCAAGTAGGACATATACCACCGTCAGTGACTCAGCTGACATTTGGGGCTTTTAATCAACCTCTTCAAGTAGGACATATACCACCGTCAGTGACTCAGCTGACATTTGGGGCTTTTAATCAACCTCTTCAAGTTGGACACATACCACAGTCAGTAACTCAACTATCGCTAAAGTCCTACAATCAATCTCTTCAAGGTGGACACATACCACCGTCAGTGACCGAACTATCAATGCCAAGTTTTGATAAACCTCTACAAGTTGGACATTTACCACATTCAGTGACTCATATATCATCCTTGGCACATCGGGGTGGAGATCTTCTCGGTGGCGGTGGGCTTCCACAATCAGTTACTCGACTATCATTGCCATATTATGATCAACCTCTACAAGTTGGACATATACCACAGTCAGTGACCACACTATCAATTTCATCTTTTGATCAACCTCTACAAGTTGGACACATACCACTGTCAGTGACCAAATTATCAATTTCATATTTTAATCAACCTCTTCAAGTTGGACACATACCACTGTCAGTGACCAAACTATCAATGGATTATTTTGATCAACCTCTACAAGGTGGACACATACCACTGTCAGTGACCAAACTATCAATGGGAGCTTTTGATCAACCTCTACAAGGTGGACACATACCACTATCCGTGACTCAACTATCATTACAATATTTCAATCAACCTCTGCAAGTTGGACATATACCACAATCAGTAGCCCAACTATCATTTCAATATTTCAATCAGCCTCTTCAGGTTGGACATATTCCACCGTCTGTATCACGTCTAAACTTTGGAGAAGACTTCAGTCAATATCTCACAAATGAATACGTTCCGTCTGTCACATCACTGTCAATTCAAAACGAAAAATTCTATCCCGCTCCCAGAGATATAAATATTCTTGACCACAGGTGTCTCAAAGAGCTCTCTGTTGATCACTCGATCGAGAATCGCAATGGTCGGCCGTGGTGGACCACTCGATCATTTCTATCAAGGAACAGAATTTCACATTTGACCATCAGAGTCGAGGCCGAAACAATAGGTCATGGACTATCACTTCTTTTGCGGCACCTGCTCAAATCAGTTCCAACAGTAACTCTGCAAATCCTCTCTTGTCAGAAGAGAGAGGACTTTGCTATTCACTGGAGGCTACTTGACGACGTAACAGCATTATTAGTACCTGTATCAGATGCGGTTGATGTCAATGTCGTATCATTTTGGAGGTACAAGACAGTGGTCAAGTCGAGAGTCATCACCAATTCGACAGCCGCTGAGTCACCAGTCGCAGATCTGCCTGTCAGTTGTTCACCAACATCTGGTGGATCACAACTACTCGTGGCTCAGCTCAGAATGTACCTCAAAGGGAAAACCATAGTTCAGCTGTCCAGGCTTAGAAAGGACATTCTGATCCAATACCTGACGACTATGGGCATACCTACTACTTCAGAAAAGCCAATGACCAATTTAAATCTGGCAAAAGCCCTATCCAAGGCTGTAAATATAAAGCAGCAATAATTAAATCTGCAAGAGCCACCGGTCACCATACCTTAGGGCCAAACAACATGGACACTTCAGTATCAGTGCACTAACTGGCTAATATATTAGTTTAGTTTGTTGGCCACCAAAGGAGGCAAGCGAAGCGCAGCGCGCGGAGCCGCGACAAGGTGGTGGTAACAAAGAAGTAGTGTTGTATCACATTGTTTTGTTACAATGAGTCCCAATTTGTGTAGTAGACTCAAAACTGTCTGTGTGATGACTGTCCCGAACAAGTGTGGCACTTTTCATCACATCATTCATCATCATCATCTCAGTTCAGTTAGTTTCTTAGTTAGTTGTTTGTTATTTATTTGTGAGTATTATTATATTTAATGTCATATTGCCATGTGCCAATGTCCTATACGATTGGTATTTTGTTTGTTGCTGCTTGAGCTTGAGCTGTCTGGTGTGTCTGTTTGAATGTAGCTGCCAATGATGGGGATATGAAAGCCCATTGTTGCCATATGTTTATGTTTTCCCCACAAGCCACGAAGCAAGGAATGTTTACGCCGTCGCCCATACTGATCAACTGAAGACATTTGTTTGTTTGGATATCAAAGGAATAGATGGTGGGATGCCATTCTCTATTTTGTATTCATTGCTCAAGTTTATTCCAACAATCACTCTACAATTCTGCCATGAGTATAGTGATGCCTTTAACTTTGAAATCATTTGGAGACTGGTCGACGACAAAACAGCACTACTAGTCCCTATATCGGACGCAGATGATAATGGAGTTGTACTATTTTGGAAGTTTGCAA